ATTTACCTCCTTTCCTGACTCCAGATGTCCTTCATGGCAGAATCTGATAACTACATTTCATGCTCTAGTTGTAGCTTGTGTTGGTAGAAAAAGAGTGAATTTAAATAGCTGGTTTAATTTTTACAGCGCCCCTTAGGGGACGTGGAGGATTTTTTTTCTTCTTTTGTGCTACCTCGTAAAAGTACAGAGCCCCCTAGTGGACATGGGGAAATTTTTTTTTCTTTTGCGTTCCCTCGCAATAAGCAAATACTCCCCAGTCTATTTTGTATACAATTAAAATTTTTTAAGTATAAACACATTTAAAGAGCCTCAGTGAAAACATGTTTATGTTTTTAATTTTCATTTATTTACTGCACGTTTATGTCAGTTTGTGTAACGTTGAGATGAAACTGCAACGTTAGTTTCATCTCAACGGCCTTTTAGTAACCATTCAGACTACCAGCACAAAAGAGAGACTATCAAAACTGTCAAATGACTTTTGTGAAAATTACTCAGAAATAATCCAAATAGGTTGGATGTATTTTTTCCTTTCTTTCCTTCTTATGGAAAGTTTCTGTTTATATCTTAGAAGGGGTGGAAAGAGATGGAAAACCCATGTTTGGCCTGGTTTGTTGCTTTTCATTTTGCACATGTAGGTTTGTGGTGCATTTTTGTCCTAAAGAAGATGAGTTTGAATTTCAGATATCTCACAAACTAGTTATTAATACATGGAAAAACCTTAAGAAAACCTTATAGCAGAAAAACTTTCACTATTCACTTATGCCGCATGAACTGATTTTTCATGTGCAGTTCCATCTCAACCTTACACAAACTGATATAAACATGCATTGAATAAATAAAATTAAGAATATATAAACGTTTTCATTGAGGCTCTTTAAATGTGTATATATTTAAAATTTTAAATTGACATTTTTGTGACTGGATACAAAGTAGACCAGGGAGTGTTTGCTAATTTATTGTGAGGGAACGCAAAAGAAAAATATTTTTCCATATCCCCACAATTGGGCTCCATAAATGTTGGTCTCAGGACACATAAAACTATATCTCTTTAAGATCTTTATCAACTTTTTTAACATATTTATTAACACAAATAGTTTAGCCCTTATCATCCTGACCCACTTCTTAATATGACAGTTTCCTCCAGCTAAATGTCTTCAGTGATCTTTATAGATCCTGTGTGCAAGGAAACTGATGCTTGTCTTGGAGGCTGGAAGGGTGCCAGAAGCATCAACAAACTTAAACATTTATAGAGTTGGGAAAACCACTGCACTCCTGAGGACAACTGAGTCAGTACGATACGGCAGATTGTTAGCAAATTTCATCAACAATCCATCTCATCCACAACACAGTGCAGCAGGGGTGTCCAAACAAATCGCCAAGTTAAAAGGACGTGACGCCCAAAAATATGTAGTTAAAAAAAGAAAAAATTAAATTACAAATCTGCTGAAAGTATATCTAAAACATTTGATGGGAAAGGCATCTTGGAAAGCTGAAATATCTGGTACTTGACATGTCATTGGCTGCCGTTTTCAAACCAGCCAATCCAGAAGCGTCTTTCATTTTTCTTGCTGGTGATTGGCTGTTCCCCAAAGAGCTAGTAGAGGAAGTGCAAGTATGGTTTCCACTGTGCATATCAAAGCATATTTGGTGCTTGAACTATTAAAACAGGTAACAATAAGCATTTTTAGAAGGGGGTTAAGGTACTTTCAGATCTTAGATATTTACTAGCACCACAAATACCAATTGTCTAGTTTAGTTTGGTTTATTTTCTAGGAAAGGCAAATATAAAGCTTACAAAAATCTATATATATAAAAAAAGCTTTACATATTTGCTTTTCAAAAGGCATCTAGTTGCTAATTCTTTTGGGCTTGGTTGGAAAAAAATAGAAATAGAGATTCTATTCTTTCTTTCTGTGTTTAGCTAAATTTAATAAGTTAATTTAAAACAGAACAGAGTCTGCTTTTGAGTAAAACCCACAGGATGTCAAATTATAAATTTAACGAGAATGCAAAACAAAAAGTGTTTTTATTTATTAATATTTTGTGTAGTGGCAAACATTTTTCATTGTAAGTAACTATTTTTATTAATTAAAAACAATAATAAATTCCATCTGCAAGAACCACCTGAGCCGGCATGACTATTTTTTATCCCTGATGAATTGCCACACAAAATCAGTTCAGGAGCCACAAATGGCCACCGAACATCTCTGTATGTATCTTTTTGTATTTGAAAAATAAAAATCCAAATACAATGGAAAACATGGGTTAAGTTCAAGAAGTGCTTTATGAAAGTGTTTGAATATGCGTCCACTATATGTGACTTTAAGTGGTCAAGATTAAATAATAAAGACTTTTTCTTCAGACATTTATGACTTGGGTTTTATAAAATAAGCCTTAGAGATTCAAAAGACTTTCCATTTCCAGTGAGAGACATTAAGAACTTAAATCCCCTTCGTCTAACATCAGATAATGGATGAATTAATGAAAAAAGTGAAATTATCAGTACAGCGCTCCTTTTTTAGTCTGCATATTGAAACGTCTATTTAAGCTGAAGATGTGCAGCGGAGCTATTATCTTTTCAAAAATCCACTCATTTTCATATAAACTCTTCAGTATAGACTTTATGAACAAAGCTTTTAACTTCTTGCTGTCTATTTTTTTTTACCAAATTATCAACAAAGGTACAAAAATCTAAATTTTTGTGGAATCCAACATTAATGTTTTTGCATATTTCATTTAAGTCAAAAGTTAAGATTTAAAACTCACCATGTCCATTTATTACCAAATGTAATTGTATGCAACACCCACACAACAAAAGCTAATGGTAGAAAACACATTAAAGCCAAAAAGTAATTTTCTAAAGCTTAATGAGAACTTTTAACCCTTTTTGCTTTCAGAATAGTTTTATTTTCTATAAAATACATTTTTATATATTTTCATGAGAAACTCTACTGTCACGATAAATTTTCATAACTTAAAATTTAGATCAATACACTTTGAATTATGATGAACATTTAACACTAGAACTGGAAGACATTTAAAATATCCAAAATAAATAAAATTACAATTTATGTTTCTTAATTTCTGTCTATTTTGTCTTTTTTTTTGTATGTCTGCGTAACAGAAAATATAAATATGTGGGAGAAAAAGTGCATTTTTTCAAAAGATTTACCTAAGTAAATGTAACTAGTTACTACCCAACTCTTAAATTGTGCTTCAAAAAATGGTTGGTTAAAACCAAAACGCCAAACTGAAGAGTTTTATCATCCAGTTTTTGGTAGAAAGAGAAAAATGTTAAATCATTCAACTGGAAAATTATGGAGGTTGTTTTGATTTATCATGTAATTAACTGATTTATAGCGACAGGTCTGTGGAAACGGTGTGCTTTGGTTTATTTTTATGTTTCTGACCATTGTTATTTAAAGAAATGAACATGTAGAGAAGAGATGTTGTGCATTCAAAGCGTAAAAATAACCATGCATGGTAAAAACAGGATGTTTCTTAGACCTCCACCAACCTTTCCCCCACTTCTCTGCTTGAGGCAAAGGCTTGCTCCTGCAACCCCCAGGGCAAAGACAACTCCTGCCCTTCAGGAAGTTCCTGCAAGCAATCAGCTTCATGAAAAACTCCCACGTACGAAAAGGTCTGCCTGAAACAACATTGCCATCTCTCTCCATCTTCTGTTTTCTGTTTTCTTACCTGAAAGGTGTCCCCCAGGTGACCACATTATTGAAGCAACCAATGAGCTGCAAGGCAGAGAGGATCCAGACCCAGTTTGAGCAGAGGCTAACACCTTGAGGAAAAGAACCGGACAGATTTCAGATTTTAAGAAAACCTGTGGAGGCATTTCTCCTTTCCCTCCATGAGTGACGTGAGCTCATCCCACCAGAGTCCTAGCAGACTGAGCACAGCATCGGGTCATAGCTAAAAAATACAGAACTCAAGTCCAGCAAGTTGTGTTCTGATTTATTTTAATGCTTTGTGATTGATTTAGAGTCACTTTTTGGTTTTTATGCTTAAATTAGGGTCCGTCATGACCTCTTAATCATATAATATTAACATTTTCTTTTTATGAACCAATACTGGCTCAATGAGCCTCTAAACAGGAGAGTTTAGACTTGATTTAAGGAAACTCGGTGTTTCAGTTGTTTTGCAGTTTTCTGAATGTTTGTTCCAGATTTGTGGTGCATAGAAGCTGAATGCTGCTTCTCCATGTTTGGTTCTGATTATGTGGATGCAGAGCAGAACCAGGACCAGAAGACCTGAGAGGTTTGGAAGGTTGCTATGACAACAGCAGATCTTTAATGTGTTGTAGTGCTGAGCCATTCAGTGATTTATAAACTAACGATATTTTGAAGTCTATTCTCTCAGTGTAGGGACTTTAAAACTGGTATGATGCGTTGTATCTTCCTGGTTTTAGTCAGAAGTCCAGCTGCAGCGTTCTGGATATGATTGATTTTTTTAGGCAGACCTGTGAAGACACTGTTGCAGTAATCAATGCGACTAAAGATAAACTCATGGATGAGTTACTCTAGATGTTGCTGAGACTTTAGTCCTTAATCTTGGAAATGTCCTTCATATGAAAAAACCCAGACTTTGTAACCATCTGATTGATTAATGCGTACAGAGGAAACTGTTTTAGCACTACGGCAGAAGCTAACGTTCACAGTCTTCATTATTTCTGCTATTAGGGGTTTAGCCAATCAGCACAGAAGAAAACAAAAGCCACTCCTGGATTGGCTGCTTTGCAAACACCTGGGTGCCAAGTAGCATTTTAGCTTCCACAGCTGCATTTTCTTTAGAGTTACAACAAATCCAAAAATAAGAGGGAAGTTACTTCTCCACAAAGTCTAAAACTAAATCAGTTGGGATTCAGTGAAAATTATTTTTTATCAGTTCTCTCTCCAGCTTGTCCAGGTGTTTGGATCCCACCTTCTGAGGGTTTTTTGTTTATTTTAAAGCTGAAACTCAGATTTAAATTCTGTTTTCCTGTCTTCTAGATGCTCCAGAGGGAGAAGGGAACGGTTCTGATCAAACGGGTCCTGGCGGGAATGAGCTGGATCTGTTTGGACCGATGGTGTCCAACCCGCTTCCCCCCAACAACACAAAGCATGATCAGGTAGTCAAACACACACACAGAGATGTTTGCATAGCTATCTTTGTGGGGACTTTCCATTGACTTTCATTTATTTCTACAGCCTGAACCTTACTCTAACCGTAAGCATTACATGCCTAACGCTAACCCTAACCAATACTCACTTTACACCTTAGTCCTAAATCTAACCCCTAACCCAAAAACAGCGTTTCCACTTGTGGGGACCAGGCTTCGTTCCCAGTGAACAGTGAGTCCCCATAACGTCGTATGTCTCAGGCAAATGGTCCCCACAAGGTATTACAAACAAAGACACACACACATACACACACACACACACACACACACACACACACACACACACGGTGACTTTCATCAGTTGCTTATCACCTCAGACAGACTGCCACGGAGGGAGTCCACACACACACACACACATGCACACACACAAAGAGGAGTGAATTCACAAAGCGGCCATGTTTCTGCTACGTGGCGACACATACTCTCTGAGGATCGACATCAAAGCGAACTGTCATAAAATCCTTTTCTTTGAATTAATTTGACCTACGTCCTTCAAGGAAGCGTGCAGAGATAAACCAAAAGAAACACGATTTATTTATCATTTATCTAGTAGGTCATGAGGTCAGCCTCCTTCTTCTTTTTGTTTCTGCGTTAATACACCAGGGTTTATTTGGTTTACAGTCACTTTGATAACAAAAAATGTAAATTTAAAATTCCTGTGTTAGCTATTTGGTAATTGAACCAGTTCTTCAATTTTGTTTGTGTGATATTTTTTGGTGAAAATGAGAAAACAGCCTTTTATCAACGAAAAACCCATCAGATGGCAATATTACCTTTTGAAGATAACTCGGAAATACTAGAGTTATCCAAAAGAAAAAGATATAAAACTTCAGCTTACAAAACCTTATATTGTAGCAGAAAGACAGAAGTAAATGTATAATTGGATTAAGGAATGTTGAAGCATTGAACCACTAGGGGGCTCTGTAACATCCGAAGGAAACAAAACAATCATAAAAGTAACGGTACATGGCAATCAGGATTCAGTGCTTACTTCTGTTTTAACCTCATTCACACAATTAAAAGAAAACAACTTGTAATTTTTTTTTATTTTAAAAATGGACAAACTAAAAAAAAATATATTTTTTATTTTTTTTTTTTTTTTTTTTTTTTTTTTGTCAAATTCATCTGTCCAAAAATTTTGAATGGATAAATTATGCAACAATATAAGTACGACAAAATGATTTGGGTTGTTTTGGACATTTTTTAATAAGACTGCTAGCTATTGAGAACAAAAAAGGTCTAAATTGTTCTGAATTTGTTTAAATTTAGACAATTTGATTAGATTATTTCACTTATGACATGGGAAAATATCTTGTTATAACTTAATTTTTATATATTTTTTATTTATGTATTTTGAATATGCAAATAATACGTTCTCACAATAGCAAATAAAAATTGAAGGAAGCACAATAAGTAAAGGGTAACTAAAAAATAGCTGGCATGATCAAATTATTGTCCAGAAATAATCTGCCAGTGGGATTATTACTTTATTTAAAATCAATATTAAGGAATTAATTACTTAAAACAAACTCTCATATCTTGTTGAAAAGCTGCTTATAAGTTAATTTTGTCCTTTTTCTAGTGTATTTTCACTACAAACTTCCTTGGTAACATTTTGTATTTTTGCTGTAAACCCAACATATGAATGGTTTTTCTTTCAGGTAAAGATTTCTAACACAAGAACACACTTAACTATAATAACCTAAAGCCAGAAAATGACATTTTGTTCCTTTTTCACAACATCAAACATTGCCAGACAAACGGAGATCAGACTGTCGATTAATCTTTTCTATTAAAACAGATCAATTCCCTCCTCTTTCTTCTTCTTCTCCATTTACTGACATTTCCTGCAACATTTAAACCTCAAAGTTGCCTGGCAGTGTGGGGGGCCAGTAATTGCTTCCGCCTTGGCGTGAAGGTTAGCTTTCCCTGTTTGTTGGTAAGCAACCCATGACTTTTACAAACTAATAGGTTCTGCTCAGACGGAAGAAGTGATTGATCCGGTGATTTATTGTCGTCTTAATTCTTTGTTGACTTTGAAATCATGTTCTGTCTCTACACCTTGAACACACAAACCTGCACGCAGGGGGGCTGAGTGTTGGATTCAGCAGCTGGATAATTCCCTGCAGCATTTCACACACCCAGCTAATCACAACAATACAGTTTGATTAGCTGGGGATTTAAAGGAACGTGTAGCTGGCAGCGCTCTGATTCCAGCAGCTATTAACAGGCGTTGAGGAACGCCTCTCCGTCTGCGTGCATGTCAATTATAAAAAATGTGATTACAGCTTTGGAGACGTGGACGGATTTGTGTTATCCCCAGCGTTCCTCCTCCTCTCTCTCTCTCTCTCTCTCTTTCTCTCTCTCTCTCTTCTGCAAACAAACTCACAAATATGTTGAACAGAAGCAAACAAAACATTTAGAGGAAACGTTTATTTTCAGCTGCTTATTGACGTGTTTAATGCCTCCTAATGTAAAGTTTATCCTCATCTCGCACGGCAAAAACACAAATCTTACCAGTTATTGTTGGTCTAGTGCAAATATCTTAGTACACTTGAAATAAGACAAAACTAACTCACAAGTGACTTTTCATTAAGATATAGAAGCTTTTTTAAAGTAAATCATTCCTTAATATTAATAAAAAAAGTACTAGTTTCACTTATAATAGGAGGAAAGTGTCTTATCTTGTTTTTTTGTCACTAATATTAAGGAATTATTTACTTAAAACAAGCTACTATATCTTGTTGAAAAGTTACTAGTAAGTTAGTTTTGTCTTATTTCAAATTTATTAAAAATATTTTCACAAGAAATTTGACCAAAATTACGAAGGAAAATTTTTGTGTTGTCATAAATGCCATTCATTCAGGCATTTTAATGACTTAACATTATTTTATTGTGAAATGATTATATTATATGTAGCAAACAACTTTCCAAGTTGTTTATATTTTGTTTACTCCATCACTGTTTGTGTCTCTGGTGGACCTGCTGCCTTTTTGTTTGAATTTCCACACAAACAAAAACTTTTTACATTAAAATACAATTTAAAAAAAATCACTTTATGGTTGATTTTTTTTTTACTTGTTTTACTTAAAGTAAAACATCTTAAGAAAAAAAGCTACCACTCGTTTATGTTTGCTACGACCAAGTTTAAAAATAAAAAAGCTTTTCATTTAAACAAACATTCATGTTTATGATTGATTTTAACCTTTTATTTTACTTTTATAAGAAATTTCACCCATAAAGAACACAAGTTGAAGACATTTTTGTAATAAAATGAACTGAGAACAAAACAAGTAATGAACGATATAGCAGAAGGCCTGTCACGATTAACACATTTTGCTGAGCGATTGTCTAAAAAGTTATTGCGATAAACGATAATATTGTTTCAAGACCTTTTGACACTGATTTAATGGAAATTATGTAATAATGCATGTGATTCCCGCCATAG